CAATGAGAAGAAATAATTAACTTAACCTTAGGATGGGTTGTTAAGGTTAAAGCGGGGTCATCCCTCCACACCCCAATTCAAAGGAATGAACAGCATTGTAAAGGGCTCCAGGTCGCTTTCCCAATCACATCACCAGCTGAAATCATCATCGCCTCAATTAGCTGTTCCTGTCATTTCATTACTTTGAAATCCCGAAATTCAATTTTTGATGAGAGTTTTGTGTCTATAATTTCAAAGCTTTACTCCAATCATACGCTGCTATAATTAATTAATTAGTTTCTAATTGACTTGTTAGACGGCCCAACGTAAATTAAATACCGCATATCCGTTGTTAGCTCTCTCCCGATCTTCAAAGCCCCATCTTTTCCTAGCCGCGTGGCTGTCGTGCTCCTCATCGTCATTATGTTATTGATATGTTAAACAATGGAGCAAAATGACAATGATGTGAAGAATCACCGCCGGCTTGCTTTTCTGAGGCAGAAAAGGGATTTCTTATTTCCATCAAGAATCGTTAATAACATCGTTAACCTTAATATAAAAATCTCAAATACACCGGGGGCCATATCATCATTGTCGTCTGTAGGCATGTGTGAAAGCATCACAAATTTTTCCAGGCTCCGTATTTTTTCCCCATCTTTCTCCGCATTTGTATAAAAAAAAAATCATCTAATGCATTATGTATAAAAAAGTGTCTCTTTAATATGAAATATAAAATTTATAGCATTTTTTCATAGCATTTCATGCCATTTTTCAGCTTGAATAATGCATACAATCATTTCCTTATATTTCTAAAGTGCACAAGAGGTCAACCTAATGTGTATTTAATTTAATTTCAAATGGCAGGAAATTTAGTATGCATCTGCCATTTTTGTGCCAGTCAGTACTCAGTACGTCCTCCGGTGTTTATTAACTATCACTCCTCAGAAAAGGAACACATTACCCTTATATTATGATTTATAAATAACTAAATGAAATATTAATGATTTTTTTATGAAAAATAAGCAGTCAGATTAGCAGGAGGGGGAGGATGTAATAAGAATATAGAACTACTTTGCACAGCATCCAATCAGAGTTCATGTGGCGAGAATCCGAGGAGACAGCGTTCTCCTTTTGATTCGCAAACTGAGGTAGCGGGGGAATATCACCCACACTTCTAGGTTTTCTTATTACTAATTAATACTCACCCGCCTTTATTCATAGCTCACTTCCGTAACTATAATTTAAAGAAACTGTTAAAATTAATAAAAGTAATAAATTTTTAGAAAATATACTTTTTTCCCCTCAACTATGCCCTTGTTTATAAGTGGGTAAGTGTTTGTAAGAAAAAATGCATGGGAAAAGATAACGAGACAGAGTATACTAGTTAAGGATAAAATGGCTAAAAATATTTATTGTTTAGACGAACTCACAAAGAATTTTGTTAAAATGGACAAATCAATTTAAAAAATCAGATTTTATAATAAAAAATAGAGAGAATATACACTTTCTGAAGAAAAAAAAAATTCCACAATGATGAGTGAAGAGTACAATAATTATAAAAATTTAATAACATGGCTTACAATTCAGGACAAAAAAAACTTATCTTTCGGCCTAATAAACAGGACCTAGGAGTAGTCACCGATGAAATTGAGAGCTTTGTGCATGCATAAAAGTGGCGCCTTCCTCCTCCTTTAATTTATATTCCTAATCAATTTGGAATTGTAATTATTGCAGGGAAAATAGAAAAGAAAAAAAGAAGGGAAAGAGAAAAAGGGGGAAAAAGCAATGCTTGTTTTGTTAGGTAAGATAATATGGCTTCAGTGCTTTGTTACTGAAGAATGAACAAAGGGGAGCATCAAAGCGTTCTAATTAAGCAACTTTAACTAGCGAATTGAAGGGTTCGTATTGATATCACCAATTGACCCTGTAGGAAGGGAAGGAGGGTGAATCGCAAAAGCTGAAAGTGACAGCAACAGTAACAGTAACGAGCAATATTGATTGGGTTATTTGGAAGAAATTATTGAAAACTACCACTGATATTCTCTATTTGACAAGAATCATAACAGATATCGTGAAGCTAAGAACATCAAAAATTTTATTTTAAACATAACGTAATTGCACAGAATTTATATGTGCCGAAATGTGACTCGTGGTAAGTGCGTTAAGATTGACATGAAATGTATTTATAAAATATCAGGGGTCAATACTATTTTCAGTTTATAAAATTTTATTTTATTTTCATTTTAGCCTTGAAGTGTCCCTTAAATGTCACTTCATTTTTATTCTAATCTTTAAAATTTGAAATCAATAGTTTTGGTTTTTTGAAATTTGACTTTGTTTTAATTTATCTAAAAAATGTTGTCCCAAAAATAATCATCAAAATTAAAATGAAATAAAATTTCATATATTAAATGATAATATTAACTTGATATTATATTATTATAAAAACTTTTTTGTAGCGGAAAAAAAGTTATGACCGAAACAAAAACACTGCCAGGCATGCATCTTTTTGTGATAATTCGTGGATGTCCATCAGTATTAAAAAACAAATCTCTCATATGGCTGCAGGATTAATAATTTGCATGGAAATTGATTGCTTCAGTAGCTGTCTTTTCTCAACTTTTGCAGTCATCTGTTTTGGCTGTAAGCTTTATTCATTGCCAGCGGGTCATCATCTCTTTTGATATGCAATATAATATATAATATAACCCAGGGAGTTTTGACTCATTCTTCCCATTAAGTTTGTTACAGTTCAGAATTGGCCGAATGACTTTATGGGTCGTGAGTAAATTGATGATACATGATGATTTAATTATTGACGCTACGTTCACCGGAAAAACAACGCTACATTTTCTAGCAGATTGCTTAGCTAATGGAGGCAAGCTGGGGGAAAAAAAAACCAATTTATATATTTTTTATTTGACAAGCTTCTTACTTGTAGACAGGGAGCAAACCCTGATAACTGCCAGTGCTGGCTTAATTTATGACCTTTTAAATGGGTTTAGGAACGCTGACAGCAACTTGGGTAAGAAGGTAGTAATATTCGAAAGGTTTAATGATGCTGGATCCGAATTTGACTCGCGGTTAATGTGCTTGCATCGCGACTTCCAATCACTAGATATGAGGGTCCTTTTACCTGTTACGCTTGATTTTACGCTGCAACGTTTGGATTCCATCGAGTTTACGCTATCCACGCGGACTTCAATTGAGCCACTTCGGTCCCTGATGATTAAACCCTAGAATTGATAGAGTTGATGTCGAAGTTGACGACCAGCGAGTATTCCATAAATGGAGCACTGTAGAAGCAGGGAATAGTATTTGGTTGTCACGGGTCAGTTTAAAAGGGATGGAGGAACAGAAGCATGGGACGGGGAGAGAGAGACCAATACTGAGAATGATAACTACTAGTCTGAGCTGGTGAAGTGAGAGTTTGAATGTATGGATATGATCCATGCCTCAGGTCTTCAAGTAATCAGCCTTCTCTGAATCTTTCCCACGGTCTCTGAGCCCCTGCGGGCTCCACCCTACACATGGACAAGACTGCTCGTGGACCCCATCATCATCTCCCATTAATACATGCCACGTTGCGCACTATTTCATACTACTGGCCCATGGACGCTGTCATGAGCAACCTGTGAATGAAATGATGTTTTCTCTCTCCTACCAGTACGCAGAAACATGCTGGGAACTACAAAACTCTGTCCGCCCAATCTAGCAAGGCGCAGTTAAATTCAGAGAGGCCTATAAATGGATGACCGTATTCTTTCTTCGTTCAGAATGGGACTTTACTCACTCGAATTCACAGATGATTTTTTTTTTTTTTTAACAAAAAGACTAGTGAATTGGGTTAGAGTATGTTTCCAACATCAGAGAGCATTTACAGAAGTATTTTCAAATCACTTACCAACAAGATCTTCATATTAACAGCATGATTCAAACTGATCTTATGAGTTATAAACTGATTTTTTATCAACTTAACCAACTCTTATTGATACAAATTATTTGTATACATAGCAAGCTTTGGGATTGGGAATGGGAATGGGAATGGCTATTGTTTAATTTGGGCCCAAGCATCACATAGGATTCTGCCCAAGCGTAAGATCCATAGATAACAAGAGTGGCCACTGCAACAACCGGCCTCAAAATAGCATTTGACCCGGCCCAGTAAACTCCGTGATCCAACCACGCATCATATAACCGATTTTGACTAGTGGACTTCTCTGACCTCTCCCACTCCATTTTTACTCCTTTACTTGTTCATCCATTCTTTTTTTTTTCCCCCTTCCCCTACCGAAACTCTACCATTCATTCTCGTAATAATACATATACTCGTACACATCCCATCATCTATTCTCTGTTTTTTTTTTCTTCCCTTCTTTAAAAAAAAATCAATGACAAAATTGGGGAAACTTGATTTTTACACCGGGAACCACGTACGCGTATCGTTGGATGTTGTATTTTGATTAATTTGAGATTCGCTGATGTTTAGAAATTAGAATTGTGTTTAAAAACTAAGAGGACTTGTTCAACCAATTAGTTTGCTTCCGCTTGTAATATTAAAGGAAAAGACGAAGGGGGTGTTTGGGAAACCCAAAACTATGGTTTCAGAAGTACTTTTCCGCAAAATAAGGTAATCTCCTCCACATATTTATTTCGTAATCCGTAAAAACACTTCTGAAACCATGATTTGATTTCTATCTAAACACCCCTAAAAGACTTGGTCAGAATGGAGTGCAAGTAAAGATTTAAGTTCAAAGGCCATATTTTTTTTTTTTTGGGTTCAAAGTTTAAAGGCCATACTACAATAATGACAAGAACATCAATAACAATCCGCACAATGCCCATGCACACTACATATCCCCAGGTGCGAGGGTGACGTGACGATAGTCTGTTACACGTGGCTCATATCGGAGCTCTAGATATTTTAACTCACGACGCAGATCGCTCCAATGGACTAACACTCATTCTCGCAGCTACAGAAATGCTTCGTTTATATTTGAGCTTCAGTTTCAGCGTCTCCATATCCCATTTCTCGCGCCATTCCCAGCACCAACACATATTTTCCCCCTCAGAAGAACTATATTCAGACAGTGATCATGATCCGAGAGCCAGTCCCCTTCGTCCTCCCTAGCCTTCGAATTCCTCCATGGCTATCTGATAATTCACCGGCCGCCTCACCTTCCCCCTCTTCATTCCCAACCAACACCGATGCCGGCGCCGCCGACTCCTCCGTCCTCCTCTTCCACCCACTTCTTTCCAATGACTGTACCCTCCCGGAACTGCACTCGCTTGCTCAAGACTTTGACATGCCCTTTGATGTTTTCTCCAGCGATCAGTTCCGCATGTTCGAGTTCAAGATCCGCAAGTGTCCACGTGGCGGCAGGTCGCATGACTGGACCCGCTGTCCCTTTGCCCATCCCGGCGAGAAGGCTCGCCGAAGAGACCCTCGCAAATTCCCCTACTCCGCCACCCCTTGCCCTCACTTTCGCCATGCAAATTGCAACAAAAGTGACTCCTGCGATTTCGCTCACGGAGTCTTCGAATGCTGGCTTCATCCTTCTCGCTATAGAACTCAGCTCTGCAAAGATGGAGCAAATTGTCGCCGTCGAGTCTGTTTCTTTGCCCACACTCCCGATCAATTGCGTGTACCCACTCGCGGCTCCCTCGAAGCATCGGTCGGGTCGCCGATTCGTCGCTCTCTGGATTCATCGCGGAGCAGCTCTTCATTTATTTCGTCACCAACTTCTGTCCTTACTCCATCGCTACAAGACAGCTTACACTTGTCGCCGGGCAATTCCCAATATGCCGGTAACACATACAATGCGATGAGTGAAATAGTAACTTCAATGCGTAATGTGCAGCTTGATTCAAACACGATGGTTTCTGGTTTTGGTTCTCCCCGTGGTTCGTTTCTCCGACCTGGCCTTTCCAGCCCTCAGTCGACCCCAACGTGGGCTAGAACTGATAAATCTGGACCCGGTTCAGCGGACCTAGGGGATAGTGGCCACGAAGAAGAGGCTCCCATGGAGAGGGTGGAATCAGGAAGAGACCTCAGAGCCAAAATCTATGCCAAACTCAGCAATAAAATCTCATACGTGCGAAGCGACGCGCCTGCATCGGCTCCTGATTTTGGATGGGTTTCCGAACTGGTGAAGTGAAGCTCAATCTGGGAAATACTTGTTATATGTCCAGAAATTTTCCTCCCTTACCCGATCAGCATTCGAAGTTGAGCGGCCACGATAGAGTTTTATGGTCTGTGAATATCTAAGTTCATTATAAATGTAATAAAAAAGGAAGAGATTGTTGATATCTGTTTCATAATTGGTATATGTACATGACATTAAAACTCTTGCTCTCGATTTCTGAGGTGGCATTTGATTCCACCGTTATACGTTGCTCATGATGTAATTTGCATTTTCTGTCTATAAAATTATGTGATGTATGTTCACTCTATTGATGTAATGCCTTTTTAGTTTTACCCTGGAATGGCCGCCGGGGTTCTGCACAACCCGCTGCAAAATTAAGTGTTTGATTATCTGTCGGTTGAAAAGGGAGTCTTTGTCTTCAAGCTTTCATCATAGGCCGCTTCTGGCTTTTCTGTGGTTCCAATTGTTTCAGAATGCAAACGCCTTATCCATTTCATTTGGTTATTAATTAGGTTATCCACTTTTTGGGACGTCGGGCCACTCTTCTCCTCCTTCTTAAGCAAAATGTGCTGAAGCACACAGAGTTTAATTATTTGGGTAAAGGCAAACGACGAACCAGATAACTTGCATACCACAAATTGTTCTGTTCGTTTTGTTTTATGTGCGATGGAAGGGGAAACAACCACCTTGAAGAAATAACGAGAGAAGAAGCATTTAGCAGTTAACAGACAAGGAAATATTGATAATGGGGTGTATGAATGAAGATGAAAAATGATTGGAGGTTGGTTTGAATATCAATGGGGGATTTCTATCGGAAACGTACGTGGCAGGCGAAGAGGAGAAGGGCGTGCTTATCTGGAGGTACCCAAGAAATCTGAGGAACTTGACTAATGAGTTGCCACGTGGGGGTTGGGTGGTAGGTCAGGACTCACAAGAGACAAGGATGGAAGGGGATAATATCTTGGAGAGATCGAGGAAAGGGACAGCATGTGGTGGAGGAGGAAGCAACATCTTGGGGGCGGGGGCCACTGAGAGAAAGCAAATGCCTAGTATCAAGGAATGCATGACAAAAGTAAAAGTAAAGTGAGGGCATTAATTGGGGGTAAGGATAAGTATCATATTAAAGGACACTCGAGACGACTACCAGCCCGACATCTGTCCCTGTTTCACAGTTAACTGCAACGCCTCTGTCTCCCTCCCTCACTCAGGTTCTGTTGGGTCGAATTATTCAACGACTTTCGGGTTAACATATTTAAATTAATATTTTCCATTGCTATTGACTTACCTTTTAAATTAAGATTTTATCATAAAATTATGAGACTGCCCCAGGACTTTATTCTGTTTGTTTTAATCCATAAAAAATAAAACAGTTTAAATCTTTATTAAATTATAAAGACTAATATTTTTAAATAAAAAAATTTGGAGGATTAAAACTCAAGATTTAAAATCTAAAGGGTTAAAAATTTTATTAACCTTTATGAGTATCATAGCCCATCCCACATCTCTTATAATGTAATGTATAGATTGCATCCTAATTAAAATTGATATGACATACGTACAATTGAATGGAGGAGTCATACATTCGATAATCTTTGTGTACGTACCTTTTATGGATATCAAAACATTATTTTTGTGTATTTAATTATGCAGATTCGATATTCCGAGGAGACTCACAAAGTCGGCCGAATTCCAAATCCAAACCATCAAATGGCGAGTTTGGGGTCTCACATTTTCTCTCGTAGCCAGGGAACATGGCTTCTTACGGTACCTGAAGCCATGTGAGGAATGGGGCTTTTTCATCATGTGGCCCAATAATGCCTTGTTGGGTCTGGAGCCCATGTTCACTGCCAAACAAAAAACAAAATTGGAAAAGATCACGTTACATTCACACTGGTGCCTCCCACCGGCCCACACTCAGACTAGTTCAACTAATGGCAGCAAAAGTGAGCATCAACATTGCCACGGAATCGCTCCTGGTTTGGATTGACTTATTCAAATGTTTAAGCATATTTCAGTAAGTTCAGTTAAAATTTGACACGTATTCTTTGTATTTCGTAAATTATTATTAAAAGTTACTTCTAACTCAATTCAAATACACTTAACATTTTGGTTCATGCTCAAGGGTCATTAACCAGCTGATCCAATGTCTCAACAAGGTTTAAGCCTTTCAGTTTTTAGAATATGGTTCTGTATGGTCTTTATGTTCAAAGAGATTGAATTAGTAAATAATATGCTCCGTTACATCACGCCTGGATGTGACTTTTCCTTACGTGTCTTATCAACAGTCAACTAATGGTGAAGTTAGGCCCTATCGATGACATATAATTCATTTTTATAAACAAGCTTTGAGGAGCTGCTCCTAATCCCAGAAGCACCAATTGGTTGTTGGCACATGCCTGCAGAAGACCTTCCGAAGGATCAGTGACTGCCTCGGTGCTTTTTTGATTTAGTTGCTCTGGCGAATTCTCTTCAAGCTTAGCCTGCCTTTACTTCTCAAAAAAAAAAAAAGGTCAACTAATGGTGAGGTCAAGCCCTACCAATGACATATAATTCATTTTTACAAACAAAATATTTGAAGACCTAGCTAGAATTCGATTTAGATCATGCTTGCCGCGTAAGGATAAATGGAACCCAAGGTTAAATTACAACTCTGCCGCTCCTTGTAATGAGCTCACGGCCTAGCGCCAAAAGCAGCCTTTTGTCCTTTTTACCCAACGGAAGCTCAAATTTTGCAGATTATGAAGCTTCCCCCCAACTCAATATTCTCATATTAATTATTCTTTTTCAAAATATTCACAATAATTTTCCATGCTAAAGACAATAAACCTAGTCCACCACTGAATTTTAAGGTAAAAGTTATGCTGAACTAATTTAAATGGTTTTTTTTCAAGAATTTAAATAAATTAAAAAAGTTAGTTATTTATAATAAATACGAGTTGATTTTTCTAATGTATGACTATTATTGGATGAAAATTTCTTAACATATATAAATAATAATAATTCTTTAAAAAAAATAAATTATAAATTTGTGAAATAAAATGAATTGATATATTATACTTATAATCAAATTTAATTTTTAACTAACTTTATATTTAGGACCAGAGATAATAATTTATATTACTATACACACCTTCTTTTTAATTAAAAATCATAACATATTTTATTGTTTTGAAAATTAGATATAATTATACAACTAATAAGCCATTAAGTACTGGATAAACCAAATATTACTAGGGAAATAGTGGCAGTAAAAAAAAAAAAAAAGGTAAGAAAAAAACAAGGGTGGGGAGGGAGAAGGGCAGGACCTTCATGAATGGCCACTGCCTCCCCGTCCCAAACATGAAATACACCCTGGCCTTCCTTCCCCATTCTCCTTCACCCTCGGATTGAAAACCGCTAACGCTTTCTTTCCGATCTATTCCGGCTTCAACTTCTATTGCTCCAACTCAAAAGGCATCGAATTCATTGGAATTATACGCTCACTCTTCTGAACCATTCCAGATCTACGACGTCCTGGTCTCTTTGATCTGCTTCTTCTCGAAATAATCTTTTCGGATCCACCATGGATTTCATGAAGGTCTTCGATCAAACTGTTCGAGAAATGTGAGCTCCTATTCTCCTTGGCTGGCTGGTCTTTATTCTCCCCTTCTGATATGCTGCGATTTTTAATCTCTTAATTTCAATTAACCTTGAAACAGAAAGAGAGAGGTGAATCTGAAGGTACTCAAAGTTCCCGAAATCGAACAGAAGGTAAAAAAAACTAACTGTCAAGTATTTAAATCTGACTTTTAATTGTAAATTTTGCATATCCCAGTCCATAGAGCTGCTGGTGGATTGTTCTCCCACCATTTTAATTTTAAAAAGCATATTTTAACCATATACTTCCTCAATCTCATTAATACGGTTTAGGATGGAATGCTTGTGAAATTTGCTTCTCTTCCCGTCCCTCCGTCAGGGAGAGCGGGAAGGTTGAAGAACTTCCGCGATTTGCTGCTAGTACCGGTCGGTCATGACGGAATTGGAAAATATTTGTTCCTATAGTAGTGGTGAATTTCAAATGTAGTCTTAGTTTAACAGTTTGCCACAATGTTATGACCTCAAAAACGAAAATCCTCTAATGTATATTCCCTTCCCATATTTTGCATACCTATGGGCCATGTCCAGATTGAGTATCATTATTCTTTGATGAAGACGTAATAGTATGATGATTAGATTTGGAGCTTTGCGTGTAACATAGTATTGTTCAATATGAAGCAGCTAAATTATGGGTTTCTCTCAGTTCTAACATCAGGCACTAGTTTTGAAGTTTGCAAATCAAGCTTCTGCCTCATCTTCAACTTGGTATTGCAAGTAGAATTATTATACGATAAAATGATAAATGGTGGGTTTTGGCCCTCAATTTCTGTCCCTAGACTCAGACTGACGTAGTTCCCAGATTTGCTTAAGCATACGAATGCTAAATTTGTCCTTATTAGTTCAGTTTTACTCGTGTTATTAATTGATTTTTTTTTTTCATTATTTACAATCTAGGTTTTGGATGCTACTGATAATGAACCCTGGGGTCCTCATGGTTCTGCGCTGGCTGAGATTGCACAGGCTACCAAAAAATTGTATACTTTGAATTTTTTCTACTTATTACTTTTCAAATGAGTATCTCTTTTTTGGTAAAAGTTGCTTGATGTCTTACTTGATTTATTCTTCTATACTTACCAGTACTGAATGTCAAATGGTCATGAGCGTCCTTTGGACAAGATTGGGTGAGACTGGAAAGGATTGGCGTTATGTATATAAGGTGACATTTACCACATAATTGTTCTATTGCTTGAAAGTATGAAGTACCTGGAGGGGGCGGGTTCGGTTTATTTCCTAAGTCTGTTCATATTACATGCTGTTTTTCTACGTCTCAATGCCTGAAGCTGCTTATTTTTTAGGCACTGGCTGTTATAGAGTATTTGGTAGCACATGGATCTGAACGTGCTGTTGATGACATTGTTGAACATACTTTTCAGATCTCCGTAAGGACCATCCTCTAGACTTCAGCTAATTTTCCTTGTCATTTTCAGTGACACTGATTATAGATCATTATCTGGCATAATCACCATTTACTTTGTATTGGCAAAGGCACTTTCTAGTTTTGAATATGTTGAACCCAGTGGAAAGGATGTGGGGCTCAATGTCAGGAAGAAGGCAGAAAATATTGTGGCCCTTCTGAATAATAGAGAAAAGATACAAGAAGTCAGAAATAAGGCTGCTGCAAACCGTGACAAGTAAATGAAATTTGCCAGTAGTTTAATTCCATAGATAATGAGGTTATCTATGTCAATATGCTACTTTAAGTTTGATTGTCAGTAAAGTAAATTGTTTTTGTTGCTTTCTTAGGTACTTTGGACTTTCTTCTACTGGAATCACATACAAGTCTGGGTCAGCCTCGTTTAGCACTGGTAGCTATCAAAGCCATAGCAGTGATAAATATGGAGGTTTTGGTTCAAATGACAGTGACAGGTATAGGGATGGTTATGGAGACAAGGCTTACCATGAAGAAGAAAAAATTGAGAAATACTACCCTGGAAAATCAAGACATGGGTCCTCAAGTGACAGGCAAGAAAGCTCCTTTAAGAAGGGTACACACTCAGTCAGGTGGGGCATAACCCGCATATATTATGCTTTGTAAATAATTAATGTATTTAGCGTTTACCCTTGCCAGACGTATAGTTAATAGAGACATCAAATTGGGAAGATGGATATTATAGCTTAAAAGGCGGTGTTCTAAAATAGTCTGAAAAGAGATGCTGCTACTGCATAGTATAATAAACCTTATGCTCACTGACAGGACATACATCCGCCCTAAAGCCTTTGATCATTACAATTTTTTTTCCTTTATCAATGAGCTGCATTTTACTTTCTCAAGACTTATCCTTTCAGAATGTTTGCCTCGCAGGCAAAAAAAGCATAGTGTGCCTTCCAGAGTATCGAAGTCATCTACTGATGTAACCAGCAATGATATGTACAGTTCAGCCCACTCTCAAAGTTCGAGTGTAGCTGTAAACAATGACGATGATGATTTCGATGATTTTGATCCAAGAGGAACATCTACTGCTAGTAAGTATTCTGAAGTGATGTCTTTATGTTGTGGTTTCTGATTTCCTTAAATTACTTCATAGGCAAATATTTCTTGTGATTCAAATTTTATTTGACTTCACTGAAGTTCACATTTTTGTTATTATTTCTGGTGCATCTTGAGCACATTTCTTCCAACATTTTATCCTGGCAGACATATCTGCATGTGCTATAATTGCAGTGTTTGTATTGCTGGATTGAGTTACCTTTCCCTGAGGCTGTTTATTTATGTGTCATTTTATTTCGTTTTTTCCCCAACAGAGGTTTCAGCTGGAAACTCTAATCACGTTGATCTATTTGGACAAGATTTGATTGGTGACCTCATGGATGCTCCAACTTCTGTTCCCACTGAAAAGCCTGTCGCAAGCAGTGTGTCAGAAGTTGATCTCTTTGCAGATGCGGCATTTGTATCAGCAGAGCCTCATGTGGACCAAGGGGTTGGTTCTCAATCACGGGTTAGATGTTATTCCTCTAATTTTAGTGTTGCAGCTCAATATCTTTGTCCAATGGCCTACTGTTTTTGTGGCACACTTATCAACTAATAACAGGGATAGGTCTTGAGCTCTATACCCTTTTCCTCCATAACTATTGATTGACCAAAAGGGGAAGTGATGCCATTTGCTCTGGTATATTGCTCGACTAGACGGAGTGCCCAATTGTATTGTATATCTGTCATGTTAATTTCTTGGTATAGATGATGATGTCAGTTTCATTTTACATATTATTACATTCTGAAGGGTATCGCTCTGGTAGAAACATGCAAAAGTATGCTAGAATGGTCAGGGAGGGGGCCTAACGGTTGGAATGAGGCACACTGCTTGCAGTTAATAGAGTGACGTGCAGTTTGTTCTCATAAGCAGAGTGGAAGTTTGTTGTTAAATTGATTATTACAATTGGTAGTCTAGTTTTAAAATTGTAAATTACTCATGGGGTTGCTTTCTTTCTTCATTTTTTTTTCCCCTTCAGTGTTAAGTTTTTCTGTTCAGTACCAAGGAAGTTTGCCCCCCTTTTTATTCATCGGTGATTGTTTGTACAGAATGAGGTTGATCTGTTTGCTTCCCAACCGGCCATTCCATCCTCAGCTACTGCAACAGTTGACTTGCTTTCTGTTTCTGAGCCAGTTCTGCAGCCAGACAGCAAGTCAGAAAGCTCTGGTCTTAAAAATAATAGCTCCATTGATCCCTTCACTGCTGTTCCACTTGGTAGTTTTGATGGATCTGATCTTTTTGGTGAATTTACTTCTCCTTCTGATTCAGCATCTGAGCAGCCCTCAAAAGTTCCTGGCACTGATGGCATCCAAGATAAAATGAATGTGAACCCTTTGCCAGAGTCTAGAATACCCCCTAAAAAGGATGCTTTCCAGGTGAAGTCTGGTATTTGGGCTGATTCGCTGAGCCGTGGGTTAATTGATCTCAATATATCTGCTCGTAAGTTTATTATCTTGACCTCCTCAGCAGGTTTTTAATGGAATATTATCTAATCAGTTGCTGTGCGATACATTTGTCATATCTACATACTGAAGATATTTTGAAAGTCTATGATCTTTTGTTTGTTAGAGTACATCCATTATGTATGCACTATCTATTCCAAAGAATTTCAGCCTTTTTTGCTGTTGCAAAGGAGATTAGACTAGGGATGAGAGTAGAGAACGGAGAAAGAGGCAGGATGGGAATTGAACTCATGTATCAAGTCCTCATGGATTCAGCTTCATCTTCTTTTTGTTACAGAGGAGATGCAAGGCGTTGGAGTCAGTAGTAAGGATTGGACTAAGGGGTGGGGTAACGATCAAATCCATATTGGTCAGGGCTTCAGCCTTTTAGTTCACGATACCTTGGGTGTCACTGAATGAGGAAGGCTTTAAATTCTTGTACATTTTCGTGCTGCACTGGACTTTGCTTTAAGATTACATTTCTTGTCGGAATGCATATTTGTGCATCCACTACCCCCTTGCCCCCATCTGTTTGTGTGGACTTATTTAATTATGCTTTCACGAATGACATGCGATCTAAAAGTCTTTTTTCTCTGTCTTCCTTTTATTATTACCGCATAAGCACATTTTTTTCCTTTTTCCGCCCCTCCTCACCTTTATGGAATGAGAGTGGAATATGTACAACCGATTGAATCCTTTCCTTTTTCCTTGTATGTCAATGACGCAAGTTTTGTGTTGTTTTGCAGCCAAGAAAGCATCCCTGACTGATGTTGGGATTGTAGGCGGATTGAGTGATGGATCAGATGAAAAGGAGAAAGGTCCTCCGCAATCATATTACATGGGGAGGGCTATGGGATCGGGATCCGGTCTTGGTAGGTCTGGCTTCACTCCTTCCCAGCCAGGAGGTGGGGACGATATATTTGCAAGTTTGAGCGGCCAACAATATCAGTTTAGTGGTTTTCAAAAGTGAACTTTCCAGATATTAATCTTACCATTGCATCACATTTTTATTACATATTATGTGTGTTGGCATTACAAAAGCTGTTGAGCTCTTTAGCATGGCTGGGCTTTGATCATATAAAGATTAGTCACGATTCGATTCTGCATTGTTTATGTTATTGATTCCTGTGCAGTGGCTAAAGCTGTGCACTGCTCCGAGTTGTAAAATATCCGTGCTTTTAAGATTACTGTTTGCGCGAGTTTGTATAACTCATTAAATACTGAAAATAAAAGCACCCTGTTAAGGCGTCGGTTGATTCTCTCTGGCTTCCCAGTATTCTGAGAACAGTTTTTCTGCCGCCACAGCACCTACTGTAAATGTGAGAACGTCTAGATTTTTTCTTCAAGGGTTTTTTCTCCAATTTATTTGGAATGCAGTGAAGAATTTTTTTACTAATTTGTTGCCTTGTTACTGCGGGGGTCCGAGCTCTGAACGGACACGGTCTTTCTGGGAAAGTGGGGTTGACACCAGACATTCGGAACGAACAAACGTTGGTCAATATCACCCCAAAAAAAGGAAAATAAAAGAACACGGCTCTATACCGTAGATTTAATGAAATTGACCTGTCAAGAAGTTGCGCTGATGCAACTAGCAGATCATTTTTTGAGGCAGGAGCTGGTATTTAGTTTGATTTTGAAACAAATATTGGAATGAAATATTGTCTGGCCCATGATTCAATCACTTGATGCAGAGAAAATGGCCGCATTATAGTCTATGAAATATGAAATTTATTGGCAAATGAGATATCGATCGCAAGCAAAATTATGCATATTTACGGTTTAGAGGAGGGAGAGTTGACTACCCGATTTTAATTTTTTGGAAGAACAAGTTAAAGGTTTATTTCAACAACCGTATAAAGGATTCATTCTCAGTCTTACACGAGCCAATTAAAACCCTGTTTGAAATCATACTCCTCTATTCCTAAATATAAGCACCTTATATAAGTGTATAAGAGTTTTATATTTAGGACCGGAAGAGTATTTAAAATGATTTAGGATATGTTTGGAATTATGTTTGGAAGTCTAAACTAACTTACCAACCGGTCAAAGCTGGGTTTGTATAATCGGTGATACTCAGTTTAGCAGTTTGGCAATTTGGGTTTTTTATTTCAAATGACTTTTTTTTTTTCATAAGCTGCATCATCTTGCTTTTAACGTAGAGACTAATAATGCGATAGAAAATCTGTATTTTAAATTCTTTACCTATTCATTTATCTTCTTTTGCATGCATATCTCTTCTTTAAAAAGAATAAAAAAAACATGAAAGAAAAGAGCGAGCTTCTTCTAATTTATATATATATATCCATATATTTAATTAAGTATTCTAATATTTTTCAAATTCTTCCTAACAGTAAATTAATTTCTTTATTTCTAATACTTTTATTTTTAAAATGTCCTTTACGATTGTCACATTATATACATTTAATATCAAATATGATGACTACATAAAATTCATGTCTTTTTAATCATTTTATATCTAGATTTTTTTTTAATTAATCATTCAAACAGGTTTTAGTTTCTTGACTATTTTTGAAATATAAATAACATTATATTATCTGATTTTTGCTGTCAGATTGAAAAAAAAGTTATTTCTATTACTACTAATTCAGATACACGTTATAAACACATTTAACGTGAGTCGAAATAAAACTCTACTCACATATTTATTTTGTATTCTGTAAATCATAATTAAAAAAACTACTTATAAACCATTATAAATGAAAAGTGAAAAAAAAACTCTTTTAGTCTTAAATATAAGACCCTTATACTAGTTGTATAAGGGTTTTATATTTAGGACTAGTAGGTAGGTAGTTAGTAAATTAGTGTCATCGGTTTTATCTTTGATCTGACTGGCTCGGCAGAGGTTGTGGAAAATTTGCCTCGTGCTTAGCATCTCCCTCACTGTTGTCTTGTTCATCAGGTCATCCATTCCTTCCACGCCTTTCGAATTTAGTCGTGCAAATTTAAAAGCGAATGATGAATACGATTTTTTTTTTCCCCTTGCCAGAAACCATGATTTTTAAATCATCTTTACATCTTTGAGTAAAATCATCTTTACATCTTTATTTGGTTGTATAACAAATTCTTCCCTTCCTTGCGCGCTGCACTTTTGAATATGACACCCCATTCCAGTAAATTATTTGTTAATCTCTAATGCAGGCGATAGTGGGAAAATGCATTTTGCCACTGGCAGATTTACATTCCTACCCTTCTTTTTTCCAAGAAAGACAAGTTAAGCATGACGGCTTGATGCCATAAGATGCCAGGTGTTTCAAGGTAACAGAAAAATTAATAAGATGGGCTCCTGGTTGGAAAAAAAAAAAATGCCGATTTCAAATTTTGAAATGTGAGGGGATTGTTTTATCTGGCCAAACAAAAATATGAGGGGAGTTATGTGCATCAGTTTTAATTTAGAAGTTTGGGGGAATTATATACATTCTCATCAATATCAACACACGCATATCAGTTACGCCTTGCAGACCAGCAACAGCAAATAACGGAATAATCTATTCTTCTTTTAAATAATACTACCTCCGGTCCTTAATATAAGACTTCGTTTGACTTTTATTTTGATTCTAAATATAAGATCTTAATCTATTTTTTCTCTTATATTTATGTATTTTTTCCAACATAGTCCTTCTAACAATAATAGTTCTAACCAATACATTTGATTAGTAAGGATATTTTAGGAAAGACAACACTTATTTATTATAAATAATTAACTTAATTTTTTTTCTTAATTTTTTTCAAATTAGTTAACTAGTTTTTATAATTAAGAACGGAAGTAGTATATATTGATCCCTTTTGAATTTCAATTTCATTTAACTTTTTCTGATTCCCGGGCGAAAAAAAATCTTAATGAGTTGAGTTAACCTCATGTACTGACGAAGACATTGCGACCGTACCAGTGAAAACACGGGACCGTGACCGTAACTAAAGACTCTTGGTCGGACATCTGACAAACAGCTTCTCAACTAATGTTTGCATGCCAGAATTGCAGCTTAACCTTTTAAGAAAAGCTTGAGACCAAAAGAAAAAAGTCTTAAAAAAAAAAAGCTTTAAGATATGAAAACGTAAAGTTCTTAAAAAAAAAAGCTTTAAGATATGAAAACGTAAAGTGTTAAGTATCACTAGGTGTTTATCCAGAAATACATAAATTAAAAGTCAGAAGCATGTTTGGATGACAAAATCCAGTTAAATTAGTATTATAATAAATGCTGAAACCGGAAAGTAAAAGAAGGGATCTTTAGCTGGTAAAAAGAAAAGAAAAAAAAAAGAAGGGATCTTATAGTTCTGCCCAAAGAGGGCCCACGTCTCCGTGCTTTTCTCTTTCCCTTTTTGAAGATGATGGGCGTGCTGATCCTCTCAGGAATCCCTAAATTAGCCTGCCTCCACTTCTTTACATTCACTTCTCGAATAAGTTCGACTCCTCATCCCTTCCCTCTGTGGCCTTTATCTTCGCAATCATCCCCTCATGTATTCCTACCGTTTCCCAAAATTCCCCTTTTCCCGTTAACTTCCGCCGTGTGCGTCCTTCACTAAGTACCCTCATCTCTCTAGCTGAGTTCTGCAGATATTGCTTGGTTTCTCCCTTTACGGGGAACGAAGGAGCCCATATTTGGCATCTGAGCCGGAGAGAGTCCTCTTCGGATTTCGGGGCTGGGGTTATTATCTAAGTTTTTTTTTTTTTTTAATGAATCGCTTTTATACACAGGAAATTGTTGCAATCTGTGTTTGGATTTTCGGAGCTTTGAGTTCTCGCCAGCAGGATTGAATTTCATAGGTCCGCTCGGTGCGCCGTTGGCGAAATATTGGTATCTTCTCTAGAAGTTCAGTTGATCAAAAAAATCTAGGTTTCGATAATATCTCTCTCTGCAGCATGATATGGTGAGAACTGGTTTTGTTGGCTGGGTTTAAATAATTCGGCCTCCTACATCTGGATATGTGAATTGGAGATCATATATTTTTTGCTCGTTTGCGTCTGAACATAAAGGGAATTTTTGTCTATTAGAAAGAGTAAAGATGAAGAGAGGCAAAGATGATGAGAAGCTCGTGAGGCCAATGTTCCCTAGATTGCATGTCAATGATACGGAAAAGGGTGGTCCAAGAGCACCGCCGAGGAATAAGATGGCCCTCTATGAACAGTTTAGTATTCCATCTCAAAGGTTCAACCCAGGCGTTCAGCCACTTAACCCTGTTAGTTCTAGTAACACAGTCTCCCTGGCATCCTCAAGCCAGGTAAGTTTTTGATTTTGTGGCTTTGCTTGTATTCTTAGTTGCTTTCTCCTCCTATAAATATTCCTGCTATTTGTGACATTATTTTATGCAAATTCATCTTCTGGTGCACTGGCTTTATATGCATGTCATCTGGCGTTGGAGGACTTCTCCAGTCATGTCCAGTACTTGGATAACGGGAACTAGATGTCAGTTTGTACTTGTACATGCTAGCTATATATGAAGAAACAAAGCTGAAGTGTTTCTAAGTAATTTGAGCGTCGTGTTGCTGGAAAAAAATAAAAAATAAAAAGAGCGTCATGTCTCCGATATGTGTTGGACATGGACTTGGACGTGACCTTTTTTGAGGTGTTTCTGCTTCGTTCATTTATAAGCTTGGAATACTTGTGCATGTTTAGTTCATTGAGAACAAGAGTATATGCATTTCATGAATTAGCTATTCTTATTTTCTACGTTCTACCTTGGAGTTTGTTGCATTATGGGATGTATGTGTGCACCTTTGCCGTGTGTAGTGAGAAATAACTTTTTTCTCCTGAATTTCTGGATTTACTTGTTTGCAGAGGACTGTTCCTGAGAGAAACCATATCCTTCCTGTTCATTTACCTCCACAAACACCTACTTATCAAGATGAAAATAATATTTCTCATCAATCTGATGTGGCAAATCAGAACCCGTCGATGTCAAAACCTGAGCAAAGAAAAAAGGTAGATGAAGATGACTTTAGGGTTCCTATGTATATGAATGCAAG